TGAAAAAAGCATGCAAAAAATGGGGGGAGCGCCTCTCGTGCTCATGCGCACTGGGGGGGTCACGTGTTGCATTATAGGTGTGGCACGACCACGCATGACCCCCCTGTGCTCCCCCCCTTTATGGTACGTGAACCGAAAAAGGTTCTTCATCGCTGGACTAGACAGTTACCAAAACAATACTGGGTGGGAGTATTAGAGAAGCAATCATTAATTAATTATGGATCTTATGCTCACTCACAGAATTGCTATGTTGTGTGGCCCAGTCAATCCAATATGGCAACCACTGTATGTATTATCACTACAATTCCAACCTTATAAACTAGTTTGATATGATATCCTCTAAATATTATAAATATGGAATGTGTCAAAAAATTGATTACTGGAAAGGAGACGGAGATGTTAAATGTCCTAAAATACTCTGAGAACTGTCTCAGCAGTAGCCCAAAGATACCCTTAAACATGGCTGAACATTTCCAGAAGAAATAAACACACAAGCATAGATAAATGGTTGACTTGAAGCACAATTCACACTGATTAAGCAAAGTTTCTGAAGTCTCACACAGTTCAGATATAAATGGCTGGGTGATGCAGGAATCGACACTAATGAAAGGAAAGGACCCAATCATCTTTTGCAATGCAAAGTAAGAGTTTACTTCGATGGATTCGCACACTGCTCCCCCCCCCTTTTTTCATTCCAGTGAAGTGCTTTGCATGCAAATATGGCCTCATGAAAAATAGCGTCTTGCTCATATTTTCACCCCTTACTGCTTCTTATTTGTACCAGATGGAAGCCCAATTTGTCTAAGACAAGTGATATAGTGGTCCAATCTAACCAGGTGGGATAAGAATTGGATAAAGGGCTCAGATCAATCAGGGAGCTTCTGTACAAGGAAAGCTAAGAACAGCACTGAAGCAACAGTCTCAAAGCACTCAGATAAGAGAACCTAAGATAGATAAAAGTCTCACCTTTTAAAACTGTTTCTCACAGTATTTTATAAGGTATATTCCTAACCTGAAGTCATCAGAAAATAAAGATATTACATTTTGTGAATAGTATAATGTCTGGTTCTCTGAAGAGGAACTACTGCTGCATTTCTCTAGTCTTGCACACCAAAATGCAAATAAACTAGAGGAAGTATTGTCACAGACATTGACGTTCTAACAAAAATGTTTTATAATGTTTATATATTTGAAAAAAGGGTGTGTTAGCTTTTGGAGGCCACAACTTTTTCCTTATTATGGCAGTGCACCAAATATTTTAATATGACATTGGAAAAAAATGCTCTGAAAGAACCTTTGATGCTTCTTAGCGGAATGAAATACTTGACCGTTCTAAAGGGTACACCATGCTAAAAAATCAATGCCATGTAAGTCTAAAGCTACTTTTATTCGGGCAATGATAGTAGAAGAATCTTGAATGTGCTTTCCCTCAATTTATCTTCACATGAATTAGAAAGGGGCCTGGATGAGATGTTTTCTCAAATTAATTTCTTAAAATGGACTTAAGCCATTCTTGCCTGATTGTTGTCTGGGTGGCCCCTCTTTGGTCCCCCAAGACCATTCTGTGTATCCTCTACAAATTGCAACAAGCAGGTCCTCTCTAGTCACATTTTCTCATGCCTTATCTTGCGAACACCTTAATTTTTCTATCCGCATCTACTCCCTCTGGCCAATGATACAACGCAGTCCACGATAGTGTTCTGTTAAATTACAAATAGTTGTAATTTTTATATACAAAAATTGAAAGAAAAGATTGTATTTTGCAAAACTGTTGTAAACTGAAGCTTACTTCACTGTTGGACTGAACTATAAATTACAGTATGCAACCAAAATATACAATACACCTTTCAACATTTCTCCCTGCTCCCCTATGTTTAAAACCATTTTAAAACATTTGATAAAGTATCATTTTCTTAGGACTGATTTGCAGCAAGGCTCTCTCAAATATCTCAATACAAAAATAAACCGGCTTCTGAAAAACAGGCCTCACAGCTACAAACACCAGATGTATGTGGGAGGAGAGAAACTGTTTTGAATGGAAGTACAGAGAAAAACCAAATTTCTCTAGGATAATATTAACAATGAAAAGCCTGCTTAGTCACATTATCACTGGACTCTCCAGTGGACTCTCTTTATTTCTGAAACTATATGAGTTAGACACAATGGAGTTCTTCATGCAAGGAAGGCTTGTTGGCTTTTCAACTAGCTTTCAAGTACTCCCCATTAAACTACTATAACTGTGATGGTGAGCCTATGGCATGTGTGCCAGAGGTGGCAAGCAGAGTCGTCTCTGTAGACACGGGCACCGTCGCCAGCTGCTCTTCCGGGTTCCATTGCGTGCATGTGCTGGTTGAGCTGGCTGGCACGCACGCATCGGAACCCGGAAGAGAGCAGTTGGCCAGTGCACATGCATGCATTGCAACCCGGAAGAGCAGCTGGCAATGGACATCAGCCAGCTGCTCTCTTTTGGGTTCTGGTGCTCGGGCACGTGTGCTTCAGGTTTGGCACTCAGTGCCAAAAAGGTTAACCATCACTGTACTAAAACAATAGAGCTAGAAAAGGGCCCGCAAGTAGTCCTTGACTTACAGCCATCCATTTTGAGACAGTTCATATAATATTTTCCCGAAAATGTGACATGCCCTGAAAATAAGGTCATGCCAGATTTTTGGGGTGAGCAAACATATAAGCCCTCCCCAAAAATAAGCCGCTTGGACAATGCACCTTCTCCGGCCAGGCAGAGCACCACTCACTGACCTATCGGTATCTTGAAGGCGCCAAACTGCGGGAGCCGGGGGAATAGGCGCTCGCGTGGCTTGATGCCTTTGGGATACCGATAGGTCAGTGAGTGGTGCTCTACCGGGCTGGAGAGTGGGGTTCCATGAGTGCCTGTTCCGCACTCCCCACCACTTGTGCGCCTCCCAGCCTCATCATGACCTGGGTCAACTCTCCCTGCAGGGCCAGGATGACAACAACAATGCTGCTGCCATCCCAGCACTGCGGATAGCTTCTTCTGCAGCTTCCAAACCCCGGAAGTCTGCTGCCACTCTGGGAGTGCGCTCTATGGTTGTGGGCCGGCTGCCGGAAGACTTGGCAGCAGGCTTCCAGGATTTGGAAGCTGCAGAAACCATCCTCAGTGCTGGGATGGTGACGCCGGCACCCTGGTCCTGCAGAGAGAGCTGGCCCAGGTTGTGGTGAGGCTGGGAGGTGCGCGAGCAGAGGGTGGAACAAGCGCTCGCGCAACCCCCCTCTCCAGCTGTGCAGAGCGCCACTCACCAATCTAGCGGTATGCCGAAGGTGGCAAGCTGCACGAGTGCCTATTCCCCCCTCCGACTCCCGTGGCTTGGCACTTTTGGGATACCGCTAGATCAGTGAGTGGCACACTGCTTGGCTGGAGAAGGGGGTTGCTGGGCAGTTTTTCATGAGTTACGACAGCGCAACACAGCCATTCGCCCCTGAGATCGTGCCCGGCTCTTCGGGAGCTCCCTCGCAATCCTAAAACAATAACCCCCTCCCCATGATAATAAGGCCCAGGCCATATTTTGGGGGTCAAAAGAAAATAAGACCCTGTCTTATTTTCAGGGAAACACAGTAGTTATAATGCCACTGAAAAAAGTGACTTATAACCGTTTTTCACACTTACCACAATTGCAGCATCCCCATGGTTAAGTGATAAAAATTCGGGCACCTGGCACCTGGCATGTATTTATGACAATTGCACTGTCACAGGGTCATGTGATCATTACTTGCAACTTTTACAACTGGCTTCTGACCAGCAAAGTCAATGTGGTAAGCCAGATTTGCTTAACAACTGCACAATTCCCTCAACAACTGCAATGATCCCTTTAACAACTGCCAAAAAAGGTCGTAAAATGAGATGCAACTCACTCAACAACTGCCTCGCTTAGCAATGGAAATTTTGGGCTCAATTGTGGTTGTAAATTGAGAAATACCTGTATAGTAAAAGGGTTTTCTTTATTCTCAGAAAACTCCCAAAGAACCCCTAAAATATCTTAAATAGTGCATAAAAAGAAGAATTACACACAGAACCACCTTGTTCTTAAAGCAGTTTGAATGGCCCTTACCCTGACCTTGTTTTCAGTGAGCCTTGAAGACCAGGCTCATTCCGAAAGTCCTGGATTAGGGAACATGACCAGTCCCTTTGGGGAATATAGAAGTTTATGTTTTACTGCTTTTTCAAGACAACTTGGTTTTTATTGGTTATATTATCATTTTTAACATTACATGTTTGAGTAAATACAGATTTGATAGTTTTGGAAATCGACTGATGTACACACAAACCATAAGTGACATGTATTTATTATTAATTGCAAGAAATAACTATGACATGCATTTATTAATTGCAAGAAAATATTATAGAGATGACAAAAACAAGAGAGATGGTTGTTTAATAATTGTGATTACTAAGCTAATATTGATTAGTTCTTCTAAAAGCAGATACAGTTGGTGGGTGCCAACAGAACAGTAGCCAATATATGACCAGTAAGGAAAATAATATCTCACATTCAGAACATTCTCAAGTTTGCAATAATTCAAATCATCTCCTTAGAAATGGAATTTCATCTTGAGAAATGGGAGATAGATGTAATCTCACTCATTCATTTGGAGTTTTTAACTTTAGTTCTATGTTAGTAATTTCAGAAGATTCTTAACAATTTGATTATTGTCATGGGGCAGATAACTGCTTTGGATGCATATTTCTGTGTGAAAGATTTCCATTTAAAGGTGGGGGGGATATCTTTTTTACTAAATGCTATGTTACATAGTCACATTCAGTGAAATGTCATGGCCATTATTCAACTTTTATAGACGTTCCACCTGCAGATTATTATTGCATTCAGTCTAGGCTTCTTACATGGGTTGAAATTTAAAAATTTGAAATAGTTAAATATTTGAATGTGATTTCAAAGCCAATGTTTTCGACTTTAAATGCAGTATTACGAAGATACCAAAAGAAGGGGAAGCTCTCCCTTTTTCCTTACCTTGTAACACATACTCTCAGCAAAGAGAAGGTAATGGGGACAGCATGTCTTCAAAAGTTATACAATCAGCTGCTGAATCCTTGTGAGACCAAGCCCTGGATAAAAAGAAAGCAAGAAGCAAAGAATTAACCACAAGCAACAACATGATGTTTTGGATGCCTGATAAAATTCCTGAATATTTTAAAGCCTGAAATAAAAAAACTAGAAAGAAAACATAAAGACTATTTATCAGTTAGAAAAGGACTTTATGTTATTCCTATACAGAATGGTTATCTAAAAAACCCCCCAAACCAATGATTTTTGTGCCTTTCAGACAGAACAAAAGAGAACAGAAATCCCCAATTTTGCAAACTGATGGGCACCTTTGGAATATTAAGAATCTATAGTAGATTCTCTTACAAAATGGCAGCTTAGTAAGCAGGATGACTTAACATATTAACATTACATAGTACTGATCCAACACATGGAATCTGGCCTCAAGCATGCCCCAATCGAATAGCAAACACCATATACTTGGTTCCATGACTAAATAATTCAGATAAACACATGTACTCTTTAAGAAAATCACAGCTGATCCAATACTCAGACATTCTTCTAAAGGCAACCAACATGTCCTAAAACCCAGGATTTAGTTAAGAACTGGCCCAGATTATAAAACAGGGAGATCATAATAGCCCATCCTAAAGATACAATTTTATGCTCTTTGTGCCCAGTTAACACAGGGACACTTGCTTTGCTATGCTACATATAGATTTGCCATGAGCCCAAGGATCATTCTTTATATAGATTCAATCTGTACTGCAATTTAGATAGCTAAATGGATAGCTTATGTCAGCAGTTACTAGCAGTTCAAAGTTTTCTAAGTAGATAAGCAATCTGAGCTAGTTATCGGCACAATGCATAAAAAATACAACAAACAAATATAAGTATCTTGCAGGAACAGGAACAGCCTTTTCCAACTGCAACAATCAAAGAAAGCATTGGGGGAGGGGGTCTATTCAAATTATACTTCAGCATGTACAAATACTGGAAGATACTCTGTACTGTGAGGTGACCAGGATAAGCAATAGTCCCAATGCAGAATTTAATGCTACATTTAGAAGATCAATTCAGACAGAAAATTATTTATTAGATTTGTATCACACCTTTATTTTTCAGAACTTTAATATATATTGCAAAGAGGCTTTAGTGCAGTATCAGAAGACTCTTGAAACATCTTCTTCAAAGCTCATACTCCTGATAGCAAAATAACTACATGTAAAATAACTAGATGGACCTTAGCTAAAAGTGCCATAACTTCAAGGAAATGATGCAACAGACAAAGCATGGACAAAAAGTGGATGAATTTAAGTCAAAAAGACCACAATGTACGGGAGAGGATGTTAATATGCTCTGAACTAGTATAGAAATTTTAAGTCTGCATGCCTAGCTATACATTACTCATGGTTATATAAATGTCAATAAATTTCTGCATGGTTTGCTAGGTAATACTGTTTTTTTTAATATAACATTTAAAGCAAAACACACCAAGAAAAAAAGCCAAAGCATCTAATATCAAATTATTAAACAGCATACTATAGCTCATTCATTTCTCAATGTCAGGATGTTTTATCAACAGTATTTTGTGAATGATTCCTAGTACATAGTTATGACTGAAATAACTCCAGAATTGTAAGGAAAAAGGCTTCTGAATTGGGTTAGAGCACTGGGATTATCCAGGGAGGAATTTTTAAATGTCTGTCTTGGTTCTGCTATTTCATCCTGGATCACACTGGATGCAAGTCATTGTCTTTTTCTCAAATTTCTTATTACAATTAATAACACTTCCCCCATGTACTATTATTGGCACTGTATATAATAGTATCAAAGCAGTTTGATAAAACAGCATCCCATCAGGAACAGGCAGAGCCGTGATTTAAAAAGCTACTTTTAGAATTGCAGTGACACACTTGAGGCAGAATGTGAGAACAGCTAAGCAGCTCCAGGCAATCATTCCGATCGTTAGGATCGTGCTATCTTCCCAAGGCTCGCTGTCCTGCCTTCAGAGCCGGGTGCCCTGGAGAATATGGGAAATATAGTCCAATACATCTGGAACACATCAGGCTGGGGAAAGCCGCCTTAAGATCTACTTTTGCCTTTAGATTTTAAGCGGGAGGATGGGAGAAGGAAAAAGCAGAAGAGGCCGGTCTATCTCTCGGGGCTACAGAAAGCGAAACAGCGGCGAAGCCCCTGCCAAACCAAACTTAGATCCCGCCCTTTGCCAGCGCACGATGAAACTGTGCAAACTCCAGGCACAACTCATCCCTCGCCGACGGGGAGTGGTAAGAATTGGCCAGCGCGGCGCCTGCGGTATTTCGCCAGCGGGGAAGAAAGGCGCTAACTCAAGAGTCAGGCAACGCTCCCTGCAAAATGTTTAGAAAACTCGAGCATTGGCTTTGCCCTTAAGGAAGCACAAAACGCACTCCGGGTCAGAGGAGCTGCAAGAACCCCTCTCCCGCCCGCTGCCTGCACCTCCGCTCTTCCAGAGCAGTCCCAACAGGTGGCAAGGCCAGGGACTCCCACCGCGTCCCCCGAAAGGAAGCCTGAGAAAGCAACGAGCACATTAGTCCACCCTCCCCGGATTAGTCTGTCGCATCCCACCTCCGTCCGACGGACACGCTGGGAAGGAACGCGCGCTAGGAAAGCAAATGGAAAGAAACACAGCCGCCCCCCACCACAGCACATGCCTTCACAAAGCCACGCCCCTCGACTTCTTAAGCTCCGCCCAGGATTCCATTCAGCATCGGCGCCATCTGGCAAAAAGACCCGCCTTTCCTCCGCAGCCTCTCCCTCTGACTCTCCACCCCTCGTTCCACGCTTCTCAAACCTAAACGTCATCGGTGGATACCCGGAAGTTATGGCTTCTCCTTGGCTTTCCCAGATTGGGGTGGGGTGAGGAGAACAACCTCCCCTCAGCGGTCGCAGTGTGTGACGTAAGAACATTCATGCACAGACATTTACTCTCTGTCTCTGTCTCTGTCTCTGTCTCTGTCTCTGTCTCTGTCTCTGTCTCTCTCATATAAAGAAAGAGATAGATAGATAGATAGATAGATAGATAGATAGATAGATAGATAGATAGATAGATAGATAGATAGCAATATATAACTGACTGCGCAGTCCCCCAGTCTCCAAGACGTGGGATAACAACCAGGTCTTCAAATGTTTTAGTCTTAAAGGTGGAGCCATAAAAACCTCTTGGGAGGACATTATTCCAGAGGGTAGGAATTGCAACGGAGTAGGTATGCTTCGTGGTTCTCATGTGATGACATTCTGTAATTGATGGGACCTAGCACACCAGATGAGCAGAGATAACAATAACAAGAGTTGGAAGGGACCATAGAGGTGTTCTAGTCCAACCTCTGCTCAAGCAGGAGACCCTGGCCCAGAGGTGGTATTCAGGCAGTTCTGACAGGTTCTGGAGTAGCAGAAATTTTGAGTATTTCGAAGAACCGGCAAATAGGCTGGCCCCACCCCCTCTGTCTCCCAGCTGATCCTTTGTTGCAGTGAACAGAATAGAGCTGGAAAGCAGGTTAATGGGGTGGAGAGGGAATGGGGATTTTGCAGTATCCTTCCCCTGACATACCCACCATGCCACGCCCACAGAACCAGTAGTAAAAAAAAATGAATCCCACCACTGCCCTGGCCTACATCATTTCAGACAAATGGTTGTCCAGTTTCTTAAAAACATCCGGTGTTGGAGCACTGATAACTTTTGGAAGCAAGCCGTTCCACTGATTCATTGTTCTAACTATAAGGAAATTTGTTAGTTCTAGGTTGGATCTTTCCTTGATTAGTTTCCATCAATGCTGCTTCTGCCTTCAGATGCTTAGGAGAATATGTTTACCCCTCTTCTTTGTGGCAGCCCCTTAGATATTGTAACACTCCTATCATGTCACCCTTAGTCCTTCTTTTCATTAAACTAGACCTACCCAATTCCTGCAACTGTTCTTTGTATGTTTCTCCAGTCTCCTAATTATCTTGGTTGTTCTTCTCTGCATTTCTTCTAGAGTCTCAATATCTACAGTCCCTCAGATATTTAGGGTAAGTGATTTTTCAAATGTCAGGAAGAAAATAAATAAAAACAACCCTCCTTGAAGTGTCAGTAAAAACCTCAATTTATTTTAGCATCAAATCATCCCATCTTATCTTAAACCACAACCCTCAAATGTGAAGGTTTTGTGATGCCTGGCAATGAAAATACCAATTTTAGAATGTTCTATGAATGAATTTGGAAAGTCACAAAAAAAACCTTTGTTTTAAGGATTCTTAAATGGAGACTTTGTGGTAAATTAATCCTTTGTCCTCCACATTTATGGGGCGGATGTGTGTGTTAAAGCTGACAGGCTATTAAGCGAAAATTTCTTCTATACCAAAAATTCCATTGACAACTGTGAAGCCAGCATGATACTGTGTCATCAATCTTTCAGCCAAACATTTTCCCCAGATCTTCCACAGTCACAATAGTGGCTGAAAGAGTAGAAGTTTTAAAACAATGCCTGATACCAGGCATGTATCAGAAACAAGATGGCAAATGTTTATTAATTCTTTGTTTATTTGACAATGTTTGTAAGCTATTGCAATAAAAAAATAAATGAATAAAAAAGACAATACTTCAGTAACTATAATTCCATTTTCACCCCTCTCCACTTCACATTTAAAGCAAGAACAAAATGCTTAGCTCTACTCCTTGATCATGGATTGGGGCATTGCTGAAGATCAGATCAACAGAGTCTTGTCAATTTCACCTCAGTTTCCTTATTTTATTTATTAGATTTTTATCCCTCCTTTATTATTTATAAGTAACACAATGTAGCGAGCATGCATAATACTACTTCCTCCTCCTCCTTTTCTCCCCCCAACAACAACCTGTTTTGTGGCTGGTCTGAGAGTAGGTGACTGGCTCAAAGTCATCCAGCTAGCTTTCATGGCTAAGGTGAGACCTGAATTCACAGTCTTCTGGTTTCTAGCCTGGTGCCTTAATCACTACACCAAACTGGTTTCCTTGTACATGCTATTGTGCAATAATAGTTGTAATACAGCATGGTTCAAAAAGTTCTGAACTGCTTGGTATAATATGCATTTGTCTGGTAAATGCAAGAATATCTCAGCCATTGCTCTGGAGGGGATTTCTAAAGGCAACAAGTCATCAGCAAGCAATCCTTAGGATCTTTAGGATCTAATACCAAGTATAAATGCCAAGACCACCAATCAAACAAGGAGGTGCAGAGCAATGAGAAGGAAGAAAAACTCAGATACAAAGTAGGAGATGTAGGAAACAAAACAAAGCAAAAATGCCCAACCTACCAAAAACTGTAGAAGACAGACTAGGAATACTAATTGAAATAGGCA